TATATACGTTCAAAAAAAATGTTTTTTTTTGTTTGTTTTTTTTACATAAATAAAAAATGAGCATATTAAAAAAAAATTTATGATAAACGTTGAAAGGGTAATTCCAGATAAAGCTTATGTCCTACGTGCAATATTCGTTAAGATGTTCTGGAAATCTTACTCGTCTTCCAGAACGCGTTGTTTTAGGTTTTTCTATCGACGTTGACGAAGTATCAAGTTGTGTGTCGGTTGTCGTGTAGGGTACTACGAGTGTAGTAGCTGTGTCGTTTGCTTGTACCGAAGGAAAATCGACGTAGCTAGGGTTTCCTTCTAGGTACGCAGCTTTGAGTCGATCGATACTGATGCTATCTTTCGTACCGTTCTTATCAACTACATAGTACTTAGGTTCGCGTTGAAGAACTTTGAAGGGTCCTTCGTATGCTGATTCGAGGGGTCGTCGATGTGAGTCTCGACGAACGAAGACGTGTGTACTATGTCGTAATTCGGGTTGAACGAAAACATCAGTTGATTGAGGTCGAGTGTGAGCAGGTTTAACTGAACGCATAGCGTTTGTAAGCCTACTCGTGTAAGAGTTTAGATCCATGTTCAATGAAGAAACTGAAGGATCCACTAATTCTCCTGGGAGTCGGAGTGTCGTTCCGTAAACGAGTTGAGATGCCGTGTATCCAATGTCAGCTTTCACTGCATTGCGGATACCTAGCAAGACGAGTGGAAGAGCGTCTGTCCACTGTGAAACGTTTGAAGCTGATAATGAAGCTTTTAATTGTCGATGAAAACGTTCTACCAACCCGTTTGCTTGTGGGTGGTAGGCGGTCGTTCGGAAGCGCGTGATTCCTAAAAGTGTGGTCAGACAACGGAAAAGTCCAGATTCGAACTGGCGTCCGCGGTCTGTAGTGATTGTGGAAGGGCAGCCGAAATTTGCTACCCATCGTTCGACGAAAGTGCGAGCCACTGTTTCAGCAGTAATGTCCTCAATCGGTACTGCTTCTGGCCATCGAGTAAAACGGTCTACGCATGTTAGGAGATATGAGTATCCGTTCGAGTCGGGTAAGGGTCCTACCAAATCTAGATGGACGTGGTCGAAACGAGCGTCAGGGGTTTTGAAAGAACCTAAGGGACATTTGTTGTGTCTGATTACCTTAGATTTCTGACAGCTTACACAGGAGCGTGACCACTCCCTCACGTCTTTATTCATGCCAGGCCAACAAAAGCGTTCGGCTATAAGTTCGATTGTTGCACGAGCACCTGGATGAGAAAGATTGTGCAACGTATTGAAGACGTTGCGGCGATAGTGTTTTGGTACAATTGGACGATCCCTACCTGTAGATGTGTCACAGAGTAAGGTTTCCTTACCTGTTCCCATCTGCCTAATACTTAGTTTAAGAGTTGTCGAGGATAACTCATGCTGAAGATCAATGTCTTCTTTTTGAAGCTGAGCGAGTTTAAGAAGGTCGATTCCTTGGAAACTGTTCAAGGAGCTAATTCGAGACAAGGCGTCTGCGACTACATTGTTTGCTCCAGAAATATGTTGTATGTCTGAAGTAAACTGCGAAATGTAGTCGAGTTGTCGAGACTCTCGCGGTGAGTACTTGTCTGAAGATGAACCTAAAGAGAAGGTAAGAGGTTTGTGATCGGTAAAGAGCGTGAATTCTCTTCCTTCGATGGAATGTTGAAAATGCCGTACAGCACAATACATAGCTAGGAGTTCCCTACCGAACGTGCTGTACCTAGATTCAGCGTCTAGCAACCGTCTCGAGAAAAATCCTAAAGGTTGCCACGAGTTGTTAACCCATTGTTGTAAGACTGCTCCGATTGCTGAGTCGGATGCGTCTACGGCGATACTAATGGGCGCTTGACTGTCCTGATGAGCAAGCAAGGTTGCTTTAGCGATGTGTTCCTTAACTGTGGAAAATGCTTTACGGGCTGTGTCGTCTAAACTAATTGATTTCGCATTTCCACGAAGCTGATCGGTCAACGGTTTCATTAGGGATGCGCATTTAGGTATGAACCGTCTATAGAAACTTACGAGTCCGTTAAAAATTCGTAACTGCTTGATCGTGGTCGGTTCTGGGTAATCCAGAATAGCCGCCACTTTGCTCCTAAGGGGTCGGATGCCTTGGGCATCAATGGTGTGTCCTAAGAAGTCTAAGCAGTTAGTTCCGATTTGGCATTTCTGAATGTTGACAGTAATGCCATGCCTTTGAAGTCGATCGAAAACAATGTCCAGATGCTTGAGATGCGATTCTCTGTCCGGACTTGCTATTAGACAGTCATCAACATACGCATGTACGAAGTTGAGACCTCGGAAGACGTCGTCTATAAACCTTTGGAAGGTTTGAGCCGCGTTTCTTAAACCAAAAGGCATTCGTAGAAATTCGTAAAGACCGAAGGGAGTGATGATGGCGGTTTTAGGAATGTCGTCAGTTGCCATCGGGATTTGGTTATAAGCTTTAACCAAGTCGATTTTCGAAAAGACAGTTGTACCTTTCAAGGTAGCTGTCAAATCGTGAATATGAGGCAGCGGGTAACGATCGGGAATGGTTTTAGCATTCAGACGCCGATAATCACCAGTTGGCCGCCAATCATTGCTGTCCTTTTTAGGGACCATGTGCAATGGGGATGCCCATGGACTATTCGATGGTCGAATTATTCCTAGGTCCATCATGTGGTTGAATTCGTTTTTAGCTAACCTAAGTTTTTCGGGAGCGAGTCTTCGGGCTTTCGAAAATACAGGTGGTCCTGTAGTCGAGATGTGATGTGTAACATTGCTGGTTACACAAGGTAATTTCGATTGCGATTGGTATATCCCGGGGTATTTGTCGAGTACTGCTTGGTACAAGGGGTCTATGGCGTGCTTAATCGTGACTGGGGATAACCTGCAACCAGAACAAGGAGTTACGCAAACGGACAACTTAGTGTTTCCGTCTATTAACCTTCGTGAGCGTGTGTCGATGAGTAGATTGTGGTGTTGTAACAGGTCAATACCAATGATTGGCATAGAGACATCTGCAACCACGAAAATCCAGTGTATGGGTTTACGTAAACCCACGTTAAGGTAGACGTACCTTTTACCGTAAGTAGCGATCGGCTTTCCGTTTGCCGCCTGTAAACTTAAAACAGACTCGCGAAGTCTGTCGTCGAGATTTGCTGGAAGAACGCTAACTTCTGCGCCAGTGTCGACGAGGTAGCGAACTTTCGTAGTCACATCCGTGACATATAAGAGGCGGCTGTGTTCGCCGGCTACGGTTGCCGTTAACGCGTGCCGGCTGGGAAGTTTCCCGAACTGTTTTTCGTGTCACTCGATTTTGGGGTCGGATAATTACAAGGTTTCCTGCAGTTTCTGGAAAACTTACCGTACTGGTTATGATACCAGCACCAGTCGGGATTGTCTGTCTCTCGTGGTCGAGAGCCAGATCGCTTACGTGAGGCACTTCTACGCGGGGTTTTTGACCGACTACGGTCATTGCGAACTCTAAGATATCGTGTAAGCGTGTGACATAGTTCGGCCATGTCAGTCGAGGTCGATTGGGGTTTTTCTTTGACGGAAAAAACCTCTGCCTTAGAAGATCTAGTGATTTCCAAGATTCGATCGGCAGATGCAGCTAGTTCATCTATGGCATTGTTTTGAAATGAAACAAGCACTGCCTGCACCTGTTGAGGGAGTTTAGACAAGAAAAGTTGTCTAAATAGGCCATCATCGAAAGTTCGTTGGCCGATGACTTCTCTCATTCTAAGCAACATGTCCGTCGCAGAACCATGTTGCAAGTCGATGTTATGGAAGAGTTGGTCTAACCGTTGTCGATCAGTTAGGTCTCCTCGTTTTAAAATCGATAGCTTAAGCGATTCGTAAGGTTCGGAAACATCACTAGTGAACATACTAGGTGTTACGTACCTGTTAAACTCGCGCGGTAACGCCTTAACTACCGCGAGGAAACGTGTGCGCGAGTCCGTGATTCCGTGCATGCTAAAATCGGCTTCTGCATAGCAGAACCAGGACTCGATATTGTCGGGCCAAAATGGCGTTAACTGAATCGAAATAGGGGGAATAGACTTTAACTTAAGAACCTTAGGAGAGTGTTCCGTCATAGTAATATAGATATCGAAAAATGTCTAATTAAAATATATCCGGAAAAAAAAATTCGCGAAAAAAGTATATCACAATATATAAAATTCAAATAAAGAATAACAATGAATAATAATATTCCAAAATGGAACAGACTCACAGTATATTGATTTGGTGTACCAGATCACGTCGGTCTCACCAATGATGATGCAACGGATATTCTAGTTTTACAACTAGATACCAGTAGCACCTTCTAAATTTGATCGTTCTCAGTCAGATAGAAATCAGAAGTCGGACGAGAATAGGCAGGAAAGATATATTTGATTCGTTACCAATATATCGAGGACCTTTTCTATGAGCTGGCTAATGAAACGTAGGAGCTGTGTCCCACGCAGTATTGAAACGTGATCTGGTGCGGATGCATGACCGAAAGCCTTCAGCTAAACAAGTCCACTTAAACAACGTGGTCAGCATCCAATGTCGAACACTTAATGAGCTATTGATTTTGGGGAATTATTTACAGCTACAACTTGAACGAGGGTCGATAAACTGCTTGATATGCAACGACCTGACTGCTGGATGAAATGTCAAGGTCCGTGACAAATCATCAGCTTTATAATACAAATATTCACCCTTTAATCGTTCGTAAATTATAAGGAAGTACTTTCTTACATGTGAATCACGCGGTTATGACCTGAATTCCTAAGACAATTCGTGGAACAGTTAAAAACAAATGCACTACGGCAATAGATCTGGATCTCATCAACGTACTTAACAACTCCCTTTATCAGTGTCACACTCCAGTTTGAAATCACGTTCCTTATTAGTAGGGGGAATTAGAAAACATAAACGTAAAAACGAAATAATTTGCAAACTAGATTTGTATAGTTATACTTTTATTACTGAAGAGTTTTTGTCATTCAATTTGGTAACTTACGTAACCTTGAGTTTCATGTTTGTCCATCAAACGCTCAGAATGTACTCTACGTCAGTACTATGCTTTATTCCCTAGTTTCAGTAATTGAATTCCCTTGACTTAGCAGTCAAGCATCAACAAATCTGTCAAACGTATGTATCGGTAAGTGTATTCCACCTGATGACAAAGTCTTTTTACCTTTCTAACTGTCATTTCTCAGTTGAGAAATGATTAAAACTAAAGTTCTCGTTCTATTTTTACAGTCTCCTGTGCCAGTAGCACTTAGGTTTTTGTAAGAAACTACATGTGACAGTGGCTTTTTGGCTGTGGGACATATTTTGATATTTTTGTGTCAGGCATATCTATGTACTCCCTCTGATACCTGTCCACAGACCATTCAACCATAAAGAGAAAATAGTGCGGAACTATGTGTTAGTTCCGGGGAAAACTTCAATTTTGTCTTAAGAGGAAGACATCCAGAAGATGTCTCAGTAATGATTACATTCGTAGACATAGTGGGGGTAAATTTGACCTTTCAAATTGGGCAATTTGGACAATATAATAGTTAGATAACCTTTTCTTATGAAGAACCATCGCGAATCCGGCTCAAAAAATCATCTTATGTTCTATCTAGGCATTCAATCGCATCTGATACATGATTGTTCCAATGGTGAATGCAACTGAGTAGATCATTTCATATCAGTCCTTTATGCTACATGCATGTATCACTTTAGGTTGTTGTACACATGTCCAGCTTCAAATATCTATCATAGATTCTTAAGTAAATCCCCGATTATTATTAGTTACCTGAAGTCATTTAATAATCAAAGTGATCAGACAGTGTAACTTAAGTGACACTGATGATTGTTACCAGTTAAAAAGTGGAAACCCCCCTCCCATGATTCGACCGGTCCTTACATTCACCGCTTGGTGTATGGAGATACTTGTTTGAAGAAATACCACAGAGTTACGTGTTCTGTTCTCTTACTTCCAATCTTTATGTTGTTTATACCGTTTAGTTTCAAACAAACCATACGATATATAGTCTTGGAAACCCTATGATTAGTTCTCAACCCTAGAGTCACAAATAAACTACTTGTTAGCTCTTGTGTGTCCCCAGAACCTTATGTTCATTAAAATACCCACAAAAAGTGGTTTAACTTGAGCATTTTCGGCTAATTTCCAAAAATGCAACTTGCAGTCTTCTCGTTGTTGACGTAGATTTTACCGTTTTACATACTATTGATTGCTAGTGGTGGTTCGGTGTTCATGAATATTTGAAATCTTCAGTCGTCGTTTGAAGTGATATTTAGTAATACAGTTATTTTTTACCAAAGTTAGTAGACATGCAAAGCGGGATTAAGTGTACTACTTGTGGAATTACTAGCTGATATTTTGTTTCATTTCGACCAGAGCATGAAATACAGAAACTGCTATCTAAGATTAATCTGTGAAACTCGGGATTTCCTACTGTTTTCAAGAGTTATGAACCTATTTGAAAATATTTGCATATAATATACAAATAGTTGGTTTTCGACCGTTCTGTTAATAGAACGTTTAAATCGTCTTTCACATTTCCATTGGCTTTTAAGTTCTCGAACATTATGCATGTAATTGTATAAGCCTTTATTTATTGATTATAATATTCACGTTTCGGCTTCTGACTTTACAAATCATCGTCTGGTGTGAATCCTTAATTTCTAACATTTTCAATCCTGTGATAAAATCTCTTCGTTTTCATATTAAAATAAGATCAGTATCCAAGTTATAAGTTACTTCTTTCGTAACTCATCTGTCATTAATAATATTCAGTTATATATCGCGAAATTTACTTACGCCTCTACCTTTCGTCGAGATGCATAGGCCGCTCACCAGCATTCTTCACTCAACTCTCTCCTGAGCTATGCTCTCCAGTTGCTACCCATAATTTTCATGCTTCCAATTCTCGACACAGTATGTTCTTTGGCCTTCCCCTTTTCCCTTCGGAATTCCAAGTTAGGGTTTGCTTCGTGATGCAGTTTGACGATTTCTTCAGTGTACGTCCTATCCACTTCATCTTCAGTTGGAAGCTGGTTTGTCCTCTCCCACAGAAGGCTATTGCTGATAGTATTCGTCCAATGGGTGTTGAGTATTTCGCGTAGACAACTGTTTATAAATACTTGTACCATCTTGATGATGGTTGTAGTAGTTCTCCACATTTCAGCTCCATACAGTAGGACTGCCTTGACGTTCATATTGAAGATTGTGACTTTGATATTGGTTGACAGTTGTTTTGAGTTCCATATGTTCTTCAATCGTAGGAAGGCGGTCCTTGCTTTTCCAATCCTTGCCTTTACGTCTGCATCCGATTCCCCTTGTTCATTGATGATACTCCTCAGTTACGTGAAAGATTTCACATCTTCCAGGATTTCGCCATCAAGTGTAATTGGGTTAGTGTTCGCCGTGTTGTATTTAAGAATCTTGCTTTTTCCTTTGTCTATGTTGAGGCCTGTTGACGCAGAGGCTGCAGCTACATTAATTGTCTTCGTTTGTATTTTTTCTTTTGTTTCGGGATAGATGGGTCAGGTCATCTGTGGAGTTCAATTTGTTGAGTCGTATCCAGTCTGTCCATTGTAGTCCGTGATTCTCGTCAGATGTCGAGGTCTTCATAATCCAGTCAACCACTAGAAAAAAGATTATGCAGCCCTGGTTGACTCCGGTCCACAGTCCAAAACTACTAGTTATAAATATCGTTCTTTAGATTAATACTTAGTCAGTGTATTATCACCCATCATCATTTAGCTGTTCAGTTTTTTATCTAAATACTCTTTTTCATTATGTATCGTACCCGAAGTGCGCAACTACTACTTTCGTAATACATTAGCAAACTGAGAAAGTGTATTTGTTTTTGATTTGATATGTTATTGTTTACACGACTTACATCATGGAAATTTATATTAAAAATCATTCTCAAGTCTCTTGGAAATTTCCTCAATTTTATGAATAATGCAACTGACTTTTCTTCCTATGCGGTTTCAAGTTTTAGTAAAAACTAAAATCTTCTTAAGCCTTCACGAATCTGAAATTTCTTTCATTTTGTTATATATTTATGTACAATTGCTTAATGCTTCACATCTATTTCAAATTGTTCTTCTTTAGAGATTAAAAAGCTTTATTTGTTTTCTACAGTAAAAATGAAGTCAGAAAATGGGTCCAAAATCCCGTTCAATTCTGAGTAAGTTTTAATTCTATTGTGTGGTGTAGTGTGTTTATTAGGAGTTCGATGCAAATTTATCTCATATACTTAGCTAATAGTGAATGATTAACTGCGATTGTTAGAGGCCTCCTTGTTAAAGCCTAGCTTGTTTGACTTCAATACATGATAATATAAGTTTGGATTTTTGAAATATTTTTTCATGTTGGGGTTTCTGACTACTTATTAAAAGACTCCAACAAGCACAAAAGCAAAGTCAAAAGTCTACTATTGGTTTTTAATATGCATATTATTTTATGTAATTGGTTGTTGGCGGTCAAAGAAGATAAAACATATTATTTTACCTTCAAACTCCGTATTTAAATGTCCTTATCAAGGGGTATGATCGAGTCACATTTTGTCGGTTAACACCAGTATGCTCTTTCTTCTCTTTATAAAATAGTCATATTTTAAAACGAAAACCTTTAGTTTTTGAGTTGTTTGGAGATAGATCATTTCCAAATACTATCAATACTGCTATTCAAAGAGCATTTGAACAAATATATCTCATTACCCTAGTTAGTAAAGCATGCTAACTGTCATTTATTAACATAACTGTTTTGAAACGTTTGATGACCATTACAATATATTTGAATAATTCCTGAGAATTACTCTAACGTATTTGTACACATCTTCTTGCATGCATGTAAATAAACCCATATGGGATTCTTACTATATGGTAGATATTCAAGAATTTATAATTAATTATGAGTAAAGTTCAACCATTCGGTGATACTTTTATATTTGTCCACAGCGTGGAATAACTTGGTACTTTGGTATTTTTCTATACGGGGGCTTAAGAGTGTGTTATTTGTAAGGAAAATTATTTCCTTACGGACAAAAGGTGTGAACTCAGCGCTAAGCGGTTAATATGAATGTTCCCACTGGGTCTTCTAAATATATCACTAGAATTGATACTTGATAGAGAGATTTTTTTCAGTGATTGTAAATGAGAGATTTCACACAAATTCATTTGAATCAACCAAGCTGTAATCGTCAGTAAGTACTGGAAATAATCCTTTATACACCAAGATTATGTAGTGATTCTCGTACAACGAATTTGAGACTAGACTCGTAATCTTGATTTCATTAAAATTGCGATGTCGAGTTACTGAATCTTTATTTATTTACAAATAAAAAAACTGATCTGTTAACATAGTATCTTTTTGGATAGTAAATGAATTAATGACTTTGTTAATGATAATATTAAAATAATCTTTATGATGTAAGTTTAAATAAATAACCAGTGATTAGCTTCTCTAAGTTAGTTACAAATGTAAATTGCTATATTTATTTATTTATTCAAACACATAAACATTGGTACAAGATGGTGACAAATATAAATGCACCACACTTTGTCATTCCATTTGTGTGAGGGCTGGAATACTTTCCGGGCACCCAAACCGAAGCAAATGGTTTTATTAGGGAGCGATTACATGAGCATTTTATCTACGGGTCTAATCCACAAGGCAGTGAAGCAACGTAAGGAGATACATTCGCACGATAGCCGGTGACCAACAATAGGTTCATACGCCATTTGTTCCCTCAGAATTCTGGAGTCTATGTGTACCATTGGTTTGGAATCAGGGTTTTTCAACTCCGCTAGGTGGATCCTCCATATCCACTAACCCGGTTAGAGCAACGTAAATTGACTTTTCGTTCTCTGGATTTCGTAAACAACACCCCCGCTGCGAGAAGGCAGTGAGTAGCACTTCCCTGGCAATGGTTGTATACGCGTGGCCATGTGAGAGAATTTCGAGTGAGGAGGGATAACTCTTCCTTGTCAGCCATATCAAGGTATTTGGGGGCAACGAAGACTGATCAAATTTGAATCAGAACTATCAATATTGGGGTAACTCAGACCATCTCAAATTAGATAAATCTTTTTCAAATCATACATATAGCTATTTCAATAAGTATATATTTTCTAAGTTAACGTTTTCTACGTATTTCTTCTCTTTCAGTACTCTTGTATCAATGCTTTCTCACAATTTAGCAGTAAATTTAAAACCTCATCAAGTTTTGGAGGTGAGAATTTTTGATTTCTTAAATAAAAGTTTATTTGATTTAAAATAAAGATGTTTATCATGTATTTGAAAAGAAAATGTGATTAATTGAGTAGAACAATATGGAATCTGCTGCATTCATTTATTGAATTGAAGTTGTAAAACTTATCATCATTACATCACTTTTAGGCCTTGAACAAAAGGGTATGATTGTAAACTGAATAGAAAAATATGCATCTGCTTGCTGAGTTGGTCTCTCGTTATCATACTCTAACTCAGATTCACCGATCGTTATCCACAGATTGTATAAAAATTCAGATGTTATGATAAAAAAATCAACTTTTCTCTCATTGATTTCCAATTTCATCTTATTGTGTAAAGACTTGTTGACACTTGGCTAGTGTTTCGTATTTAAAAAAGGCAAAACATAATTTTGACGCTTATCTTGACAGTCTTCACTTAAGCTATAGTTACATAACCGTAGTTGTTGAGTTCAATTTCTACATCAGTTATCACTAGTTCTTGAATTGTGGGAGAATTATTTTATTTTCATGCTTTCATTTGTACAATTTAAGCTTTCATTTCACTTCGCCGAATAATAATTGTTTCAAGTCCCTAAAATATTAACTATTCATTTGAATCGCAAGTTTTTTGTACCTTTAGGATGAACAAATACATTAATCTCCTGTATACTTCTGTTAATACCGCGTCCATTTTTCTTTTTCGACAAGAATTGTTTCTTTAAGGTTCTCTCAAAGTTTTGAAATCAACCGATTGATTATTGGACATCAGGAATTACCGTATAGCTGCTTCATCCTATTTTTTTTACTTTCATGCTTCCTCCTATATTCACTAGCTTTTGAAATTGCTTTATCACAAGTTAGTCATTAAAATCGGTACTGTGTTTAGAAAACTGGCCTACTCGTTATATGGAATCCAAGATATATCATTTTACCTCACTTTATCCCTTACCAGTATTATTCTGTTTAAGCAATGTAGGTTAATGAAAATGGCTTTAAACACAAAAATTCGATTACTCCCCCTAGTATTGTATGTTCCATTCATTCAAAGATAAATCAAAAGACAGCTTCGATCATTTGACCATGAAGACATTAGTTGACAAAAAATATAACTCCTTGTTTACATTTTTATCGATCTAAAATCCCAATTAGCAAATGTTTGAACTGTTTGCATTGATTTAATAACGATAATTTGTGAAGCAAGATTATTTACACAACATAGTAGCATGAATAGAGATACTTTCACTTTCTCCGCCAAAACCATGACCTCCGACTTAACCTTCGCTGTAAAATCTCTCGAAATAAATAGAATGTGATAATGATGGCATCATATATATATATATATATATATATATATATATATATATATATATATATATATATATATATATATATATATAATATGGCGAAACTATATTGGTGACCTCGGGTGACTTGTCAGCCAATCAGGAAACGCTGATTAGTTACAAATCAGTTGAAAACAAAACAACAGTGTAATAATAGCTGTATTCTGAATTATTACCCCCCTCCCAAGTATACACATCATTAGTGGAGATAACATTATAAATTACGGTTATCGCACCGTAATTTTCATCACCACATAATATTGGTTTTAATTTAAAAAGGTTAAAATTGTGTATTAAAGATAAATCAGAAGGGGTTTTGTGGAGATTTCAGTATTTTCATAGTTGAAATCATGAGTCAATTGAAGCTAGACCACCATGAGAAACCTGGAAGCATTGGACGGCCGTTTCGTCCTATTACGGGACTCCTCAGCAGTGCGCACCCACGATCCCGCCTCGCGAGATTCGAACCCAGGACCTACTAGTCTCGCGCTAGAGCACTTAACCGATAGACCACTGAGCCGGCATCCATGGTGTTAATGTCTAACTTCAACCAATCCACGATGTTTGATTAAAGATAAAGCTGGAATTTTGAGTTGTCTTTACAACTTAGGGTTTTTGCTTTTCATCACGATATCCGTTATAACGCAATGCTTCACCACCCTTTCGTTTAAAATCTTACGAAAGTTAGGGTTGAGATTTAGAGAAAGAGTTGGAAGGGTAGTATATTATCTAGCGTCACTAAACATTCTTGACTACACATTGAACCACACTAAGTACACAATCTGACAGGCATTTTTTGTCATTTAGGTTAAGCATCATCCTAAATTCACACTTTGGTTGCGTAATAGATATTTTTATCGATTCCGAGCATTTTAACAATCAATTATTGTCAATTTCCCTCCAGTTAATAACAACATATATGTTATCCATCATTGGACTTGAAATTTCATGCGAAATACATAAAGGACTATCTTAAATTTTAATTGGCTAACTCAGTCAGTCAGTCAGTCAGCTACAACGTAGGACCAGGCACATTTATGCATCGGTCCAAGTTGCCATACCTCGTTAGCACAACAAGATGAACACCGGATTCATAGAAGTAATTAATTTAGTGGTGGTAGTAGTATATAAATCATAGGTTGTATATAAGGATATAGTACAGGAAGGAGGAGAGATATGAAGCAATTTTAGTCTCAAGGTTTAAAGGAAGATAAAGAGTGTATACACCTACTCCATTGTGATCGATTCTGAGCCATGTCACCTAGAGTCTCCATCCATTGGTTACGATAGTCACGCGGACCCCAACCAGGTAGTCTGCATCTGCCAATATGGCTCAGACTAGAAGTTAGTGACTTCAAACACTGATGCCATGTTTTGGTTTGGCCGCCCCTAACTTTCTTCCAACAATCCCCTACACTGGTCAACATTGCGCGTCGTGGTAATCGGTGTTCAGGCATACGTAACACATGGCCCAACCATCTCAGTCGATGAAGATTCATCACCTCATCAACTGATTTACCATCGTTCCCTAATACCCTGCGTCTAACCTCACTATTACTTACCCGGTGATCCCAGTAGATGCGAGCAATATTTCTAAGGCATCTGTGGTCAAATACTAGTAACCTACGAGTATCTTCTACTCTTAATGGCCATGTTTCACAACCGTAAAGTAGAACAGAGCGAACTGCTGCGCAGTATACTCGTCCTTTAATTGATAGACGGATATCTCGTCTTCGCCATAGGTGACGTAAGTTGGCAAAAGCCAAACGAGCTTTTCGAATCCGTGCTGAGATTTCGTCAGACACCAACCCATTAGGGCTGATCAGACTTCCAAGATAAGTGAAGTTGTCAACGCGTTCGACTACTTCACTCCCTATCCTTAGTTCAGGTGTTGATGCAGGCCAGTCCTGGAGTAACAATTTACATTTGGATGGGGAGAAACGCATCGCAAACATCCTGGCATTATTACTGAGTTCCAACAGAAGACTCTGCATTTTGCCAGCGTCTTCACCAAACAGGACTATGTCATCTGCGTATTCTAAGTCGCTTAGTGGTCCCCCTGGTAGGAGATCAATTCCTGTAAATTCAGTCGAAGAGAGTGTTATTTCCAGCAACAGGTCTATAATGAAGTTAAACAAAAATGGGGATAGTGGACAGCCTTGACGGACACCACTTAAGGTTGTAAAATCATATGACAGTTCGCCATAAGCTCTCACTCGACTGGTAGTGTTCGAGTAAAGAGCCTTCACAAGGTTTATGTACTTCTCAAGGCTGTTAGTATATTATACTTTTACCTATTTCATTTGCTTATCTTCAAAAACTTGATGAAACCAATATGCACAATGAAATAATTACGTTGTAAAGCAATGCAAAAACATAAAATCAACACCCCTCAAAAAACCAAATCATGTATGAAAACCGAGTCTGGCTTCATTTCGTTTAAAATTTTATTTCATTAATTAAGTTGGAAATCAAAGAACTCTGTAGTATAATCATTGGTGAATTTACTTGAATAAATATCTAGGACACATGACCGCGTTCATTTACTCAACTGCCTTTAATTTCCCAATTTTTCCACTGGTCACATTTTCACCAACTGGTATTCGATATGAAAGTTACAATCAAAAATTATGTTAAACAATATTGCTGAAGTCATATATTACCCAACTTTCATTGGTTGTTATTGTAACTTAAAGTTTCAGTTATTTGATTTACACGACCATTTCAACTTTTCCTGTCATGTTATATTTATTCAGTATATAAATATCTAAATCAGAAGGGTTTTTGTGGATATTTCGCGAGTGCGGAATCGTGGATGCGCACTGCTGAGGAGTCCCATAATGGGACGAAACGGCCGTCCAGTGTTTCCAGGTTTTCCACGGTGGTCTAGCTTCAATTGACTCATGATTTCAACTATGCAAATATCTAAATATAGATATGAAAATAACTTCATTTCATATAATAATTAGCTGAGAATTTATTCCATTACTTTTTATCTAGGAGTAATGTCAGTTTTCTTGTTCGATTTAGTTGCAGATAATTGGTTATTAATAATGATTTGATTGCCTAATGAAATAATTAATGTAGTTGAAATCAGTAATGGATAATCGACCAAGTATCCAGAATCATAGTTGTTGACAAGTTAATAAACTCATCAGCTCATTTTGTTTCTTTGCATCTTGAAAATATTATTTTTAAATCTTTTACTTTCTAGTTTAAATTGTATCTAATTTCTTGTCGAACTTATTCCTAGTTGTGGTTTCGTCTTTTTGTGGTCAGTGCGAATCCATTAGTTGTTTCATCGGGTTTTACTGACGCCTAATCAGTTAATCAACTGTATATAAAAAAGTGTGTATCTTAAATGTTCATCTTAAGTTATGAATTCTTTTTTTTCAACCATTATGAATAAGCTGATATTAGTTAACATAATATTCAATTTTAATTATAATAGGTAGATAGTTCGTGACCCACTACACCTAGTTATAGTTCGAAGCTCAGTACACAAACTTGTACTTATACATTTGATAAATCCACATTGTTTCTCGTGTTATTTTTTTGTTGTTAAAAAAACGTTTTTTCTTGATTTTAGCTCATCAAAAAGCTGTCCGTTAATTTAACTCGTCAGCAGAAAACAAATTTACTCGAACATCTCCTAGTAAGTGATACTAATTTGTTTTCATCACTTTATGTGTATATGTTCAAGTTAACTTATTACATGAGTTGAAATTCTTAGGTGATAAATATCATCACAATCAGACTAGATCCCAGTTGTAATTGTACCTAGGAATTTAGAACAAATCATGCTTTTTTGATTTTTTTTTTCGAGGTATTCAACAATCATTGTGAGTGTTTGTTTTTAAGGAACTTTTTAAGTTAGACACTTATAAACCTAGATGAAATGCATTTGAAAGAAACAAACACTGTACAATACATGCATTTTCTGTTGTTTTTATGAGAATCACGTGTTCCACTGGTTGTTTCCTTAAAATCACATATATACAATACTACCTTATCATGACAAAAAGTGTTCTTGTGAGATATTCAAAAATTCTTTGGGAATTGTAACCAGAGACGGATAGTAGTTAGCAGTGACATTTAAGACGTGCGTTTTGTCCCATCTGGGATTATTCGGATGGATCTACCTGCATCTCAGAGTTTATGTTTACTCCGGGTTAGGGTGAAGCTAATAGTATCCTTGTTCCTTCCAAAAAAAACTATCTTTTATTACTTCAAATTAACAAACAGTTGCAAGAGAATGAGTAGCAATCAACATAAACATGTTTGTTCTGATGGACAGATACATATTTTTAACTGATTGGTCTCACTAAACTTAACCAAATTGGCTTCTATTAATTTGAATAAACAATCAATGATAAAATCTCGATGTGACTGTGAACATAGTCTAGTATTAACTAGACTATTTGCAGTGAATTATTGACAGTATACGTGCTCTATATTAACATTCAGTTTAAATGTCTTCTTTTAGCTGTTTTCCATCAATCTGTGACAATGAGTTGTTTAGTTTTCTGACCATTCTAATCGATAGATGATCATCGAAACGAAAGAATGTGACTGGTTTTGTTATATCGCGCAAGTGCGTGCATGCCCTGTTTAATATATGAGGTGATGATCCCTGCCGATGAAAGGGGAGCGAATTATTGATCGGATCAAATGATACACAACATTCGTATAAGCAGTCTTGGGTACTTATCAGTCCCGCTTTCTGCCTAGCTCAGCCAGTTAAGTCCAGAACACCAATAACAGTCTCTGCAATATGAATCATTGTTCTCAAACATTACTTACTTACTTACTTTCGCCTGTTACTCCCAATGGAGCCTAGGCCACCGACCAGCTTTCTCCAACCCACTCTGTCCTGGGCCTTCTTTTCTAGTTCTTTCCAGTTCTTGTTCATTCTTCTCATGTCTGTCTCTATTTCTCGGCGTAATGTGTTCTTTGGTCTTCCTCTTCTCCTTCGACCTTCAGGATTCCATGTGAGGGCTTGTCTTGTGACACAATTGGGTGATTTCCTCAAAGTGTGCCCAATCCACTTCCAGCGCTTCTTCCTGATTTCTTCCTCCGCTAAAATCTGGTTTGTTGTCTCCCACAGTAACTTGTTGCTGATAGTGTCTGGCCATCGGATCCAAAGTATCTTGCGTAGACAGCTGTTAATAAACACTTGTATCTTCTGGATAATGGCTTTCGTAGTTCTCCACGTCTCTACCCCATACAGAAGAACTGTCTTGACATTTGTATTGAAAATTCTAACCTTGGTGTTGGTTGACAATTGTTTTGAGCTCCAGATGTTTTTCAGCTGTAGGTATGCTGCTCTTGCTTTGCCGATCCGCGCCCTCACATCTGCATCTGATCCACCGTGTTCATCAATGATGCTGCCCAGATATGTAAAGATTTCCACATCCTCCAAAGCTTCTCCGTCAAGTGTAATTGGATTGGTGCATATTGTATTGTATCGGAGAGTCTTGCTTTTCCCTTTGTTTATATTGAGACCTACTGCTGCTGAGGCTTCTGCTACACTGATCGTTTTCTCCTGCATTTGTTGTTGCGTTTGTGATAGAAGAGCCAGATCATCCGCGAAGTCTAAATCGTCAAGCTGCATCCTGCCTGTCCACTGTATCCCGTGCATTCCTCCAGATGTTGACGTCTTCATAATCCAGTCGATCACCAGGAGAAAGAGAAAGGGTGAGAGTAGGCAACTTTGCCTAACACCGGTCTTTACCTCGAACGAGTCGGTGAGTTGTCCTCCGTGGACGATTTGGCAGTTTAGTCCATCATAGGAGTTCCTCAGGCACGCCGTGGTGTCGAAGCTTCCATAGTGTCGTCCTGTCCACGCTATCAAATGCCTTCTCGTAGTCGATGAAGTTGATGTACAGTGATGAATTCCATTCGATTGATTGTTCCACAATGATACGTAGAGTTGCGATTTGATCTGTGCACGATCTATCCTTACGAAATCCAGCTTGTTGATCTCGAAGTTGAGCGTCCACGGAATCCTTCATCCTGTTTAACAATACTCTGTTGAAGACTTTTCCTGGTATTGAGAGGAGAGTGATGCCCCTGTAGTTGTCGCACTTGCTCAGATCGCCTTTCTTTGGTATCTTGATGAGAAGTCCTTCTTTCCAGTCTGTTGGTACATGTTCTTCGTCCCAAATCTTACCGAAGAGGATGTGGAGTATCTTGGCAGTTGCTGTTACATTTGCTTTCAGTGCCTCTGCCGGGATGTTGTCTGGTCCCGCTGCTTTGCCACTCTTGATTTGTCTAATGGCCATGCTGATCTCTTCAATTGTTGGTGGGCCAATATCGATTGGGAGGTCTGTGGGTGCTGCTTCGATGTTGGGTGGGTTCAGTGGTGCTGGTCGATTCAAGAGTTCTTTGAAGTGTTCTACCCACCTGTTTCGTTGTTCTTCAATGTCGGTGATTACTTTGCCTTCCTTGTTTTTCACTGGTCTTTCTGGTTTACGGTAATTTCCAGCAAGTTTCTTTGTTGTATCATACAGTTGTCTCATGTTTCCCTTTCTTGCAGCCTTTTCCGCTGTCATCGCTAAATCTTCCACATATTTACGTTTGTCGGTCCTGATGCTCCTCTTCACTTGCTTGTTTGCCTCTGTGTATTCGGCTTGTGCCTTGGCTTTTTCCGCTCTTGTTCGGCTGATATTGATTGCTGCCTTCTTGTTCCTTCTTTCTTCAATTTTATCCAGTGTACCAACAGTGATCCATTCCTTGTGATGGTGCTTCTTTTGGCTCAGAACCTCCTGATATGTTGAAACGATTGCCTCCTTGATACCTTTCCAGCTGCTCTCTATGGTGGTTCCCTCTCCATTGAGTAGGTCATGAAAGGCCTCGAACCTGTTGCTGAGGGCTATGTTAAATTCGTTGAGTTTGTCAGCATCTCAAAGAAAGGCCGTGTTAAACTTTTGTGATGTTGTCCGCGCCATTGTCCAGTGCTTCTTGAGTTTTAGTTTCATCTTGGCGACCAGCAAATGATGATCGGATGCTATATCAGCTCCTCTTCTGGTTCTCACATCCTCCATCGTCCTCCTGAACTTTTTGTTGATGCAGACATGGTCGATTTGATTCTGTGTAGTGTGATCCGGTGAAATCCAAGTGGCTTTGTGTATGTTTTTGTGTGGGAATATGGTGCCACCTATGACCAGTTTATTGAAGGCACATAGGTTTGCAAATCTCTCACCGTTTTCGTTCCTTCCTCCCAGTCCATGTTGTCCCATGACGTCTTCGTATCCAGTGTTGTCCTTTCCAACCTTGGCATTGAAATCTCCCATTAGAATGGTCAGGTCCTTGGTTGGGCACTTCTCGAAGATTGACTGCAGCCTATCGTAGAATTGGTTTTTAGCGTCTTCATCGTAGTCGTTGGTCGGCGCATAGCATTGGATGATGTTCATTGTAATGCCCTCTCTCTTTGTTTTGAAGGAGGCTTTGATGATCCTCGGTCCATGAGATTCCCATCCAATAAGTGCATTTTGTGCTTTTCTAGACAGCATCAGTGCCACTCCTTGTGTATGTGGGGCATTTTCTTCTTCATGACCGGAGTATAACAGAAGTTCCCCTGAAGACAGTCGTTGTTGTCCAACCTGCGTCCAATGTGTTTCACTGATTCCAAGCACTTCCAGGTTGTATTTCCTCATTTCCGCAGAAATTTGGAAGACTCTGCCGGTCTCCCACATTGTCCGGACATTCCATGTACCTATAAAAATTGTCGCTCTGGTTGTAAGAAGGTGCATCGACCTCATGACTTCCGAAGGAACTCGGCTTTCATCATGAGACGTCATTTTTCCTTCTACTCCCAGGGCAGAGTTTGAATGGTTTGAATGATTTTTTCTGGTTAGCGTTTTTTTAGCGAGTTGATTTTCTACGGGATGGGGTCGCTAACCCCATGCCCAACCCTCCTCCTTTACCCGGGCTTGGGACCGGCAGTAGCCCCTGGAGGAGCTACAGGCGGAGTTGTTCTCAAACATGCTGGGTTTATATACCAAACAAACTGACCACATCCTACCATAAAATAGAAAATAACATATTTACAAGATTTAGCCAAATGTGGCTGTGAATAGGTGGAACAGTAATCAATAGACTGGGTAGAACTCAAGAATGGTAAACCGTATAATAATAGTCTATAGGTCAAAGTAAAGCCTATAATAAGAGGGACACGAATATGAATAGTTCAGTTACTTAACAACTATACAATAGGAAATATACATATCATATTGGTCCATAGATAGTTCTCAAAGTTACCATTCATAAATCTCCACGCGATTTAACAGGTTTGTGTAACCGTATTTCTCTATCTGACAGTGTTGCAACACATATGACTATTAATGAATTTTCTTTATGAGATAATAGAAATATTTCGAAATAATAATATTCTGTGCATCATAAATTTTAAGAACTGTTTTGTTCAACAGTTTCATAATAATCAGATATTACTATCATAGAAATAAACGCTTTTCTTCTGTAGTTAATATTAAGGCTATAGGATACAAAAGTTCACAAATTTTGTTTTGGATTTACATTGAATGGTCTCTCTCGATTTCTCTATATTACGTTTGCGTGTAACAAACTTTGTGGTTTTTGGTAGTCCATCGTGTTACATAACCTTCAATATAGTATCAGTAATAAGTAGTAATTCAGTGTCTGTGTAAATAAAGAACTCAACTTTCACTAACCTAGTGTCAAGTTGAAATCCACTCCACATCCTTCGCTTTAGTTATCTCTCATATACAAAAATTTATAGTTCGAAGTTAAATAGATAAATAGTCTATACCTGATAAATGAGTGACGATGTTTTGTTGTATCCCGTGGAGAATTATGAATGGTAACTTTGAGAACTATCTATGGACCAATATGATATGTATATTTCCTATTGTATAGTTGTTAAGTAACTGAACTATTCATATTCGTGTCCCTCTTATTATAGGCTTTACTTTGACCTATAGACTATTATTATACGGTTTACCATTCTTGAGTTCTACCCAGTCTATTGATTACTGTTCCACCTATTCACAGCCACATTTGGCTAAATCTTGTAAATATGTTATTTTCTATTTTATGGTAGGATGTGGTCAGTTTGTTTGGTATATAAACCCAGTATGTTTGAGAACAATGATTCATATTGCAGAGACTGTTATTGGTGTTCTGGACTTAACTGGCTGAGCTAGGCAGAAAGCGGGACTGATAAGTACTCAAGACTGCTCATATAGCTTTTTATATCGTAGCTCTGATCGATAATTCGCTCTTCTCTCATTGGCGGGAATCAGCACGTTTATATATTAACAGGACACGCGTGCACTCACACGTTATAACATGTTTGATTAAAAATGATTAGTATAGTTTAAAAATTCTTTTTCTCATCGTATGGTTATACAACATTGTCAACCTGTGTGTAATCAGCTGTTATGAATTTCCTGTTCACTATCTGCGTCACATTTTTCTAGAATCTAGTCACCAATGTCTGTAACTCTATAATTTCTTGGTTCTATCTTCATTTAACTGGATATTTGTATTTTGTAATATATGTATGTTTGTTTTTGTGCATGATAATCTTCTTGAAACAATCATCTTACCAATTTAATATCCATTTTATTTGATTGAAACATTTATGAATTATCATGTTAGTAGGTTAAACTGCCTTATCGACAAGTGCCCCCAAACTGCCCTGCTACGACCGAGAGTGGGGATAGTCCGTTCTCCCTCTCGAAATGCTCTCACATGGCCACGCGTATACAGCCTCTGCCAGGGAAGTCCTATTCATTGCCTTCTCGTGGCCGGGGTGTTGTTTACGAAATTGAGAGGACGAAAAGTGAATGTCCGGTGCTTAAACCAGGTTGGTGGACACGGCGAGTCCACCTAGGGGAGTTGGAAAACCCTGATTCCAAACCAATGGTGCACACGGGCTCCAGTATCCTGAAGGAACGAATGGCGTATGAATTTGTTGGTCAACGGCTACCACGGGACTGCATCTCCTCACGATGCTCCACTGCTTTGTGGATCAGATCTGTAGATCAAAGGCCCCGGGTGTGGCCCTTTAAGAAAAGCACCTGCTTCAGTTTGGGCACCTGAGCAGTATCACAGCCCTCACACAAATCTCATTTGATTTGTGCGGCGCATATGTATCTGGCGCTTCATTGTACCAATATTTATGTGTATAAATAAAAATAAAAAATACTTATCGACAAGTACATTTTTAACCTTAAATCATACTAGACAATATTCTTCTAGTTATATCAATAAACACTCTTGAAGTTTACTAATTGAACATAGTAATTTGATACCATATGGAATACATTAATGCTCTAAAGTTTAATAATTAAAACCCACGTTGAAATATAGGTTGTTATTGGTGAACAAATTTTACAATGTAACAAGCTGTCATATCGTGTGCGCTCGTAATATATATATGAACGTGCAATTAGAGAGGTAGTGGATTTTACTGATCGGCGCAATGATACATAAAATCGTACGAGCAGTCTTGAGTGCGTATCGGCCCTGCTTTCTGCCTAGCCCAGCCAGTTAAGTCCAGAACACAAATAACAGCCTCGGCAATATGAATTATTATTTACAAACACACTGAGTTTTTATACAAACCAAAGTAGTCAATAAACTGATTATAACTCAAGAATCGTATGATAATAAGTCAAAGGTCAAAATAAAGCTAATAATAAGAGAAATACGAATATGAATAGTTCAGTTACGTAGTAATTGTACAATAGGAAATAGGCATATTACATTGATCCATAAATAGACCTAAAGTTACCATTCGTAATTCACCGTGGGATATAACACAAGCATACACAGGGATGTAGTAGTGTGTAACCTTTGAGTGCTTTGATTAAAATAAAACCTATCATACAAGTTATTTGTACTGTAAATTATTGCTAGCCTTGCTTCCTTCTACATAGATACATTTCCAACCCATACCTAGTACAAAATATAATTATTGTTCGTAAAATTTGTCAAAGAGAATAAACAAAGTTGAACTAAGCGAATAGCTACTGTGTGTAAACATTCTTCATGTCATTCTTGAAGTTAAAGAAAAGATTAACACGTTGAAAGTGTACTAAACTAAAATAGGAATAGAATCTGTGTTAGTGGAGTAAATGAATTGTATTCTAGCTGTTCACTAGAGAATATCTAAATTTAAACTTTCACTAGGGAAATATTAAAATTAGTATGTAAATATCCCTGCCAATTAGGTTTTCGTTATGTAACCGTTAATTCATTGAAAATAAACGAACTACTGAATAATAAACATACTTTTTACAATATATGCTGATAAGTATTACCAAAGATTTCGTTTGAATTACATATTGTTACTTTTTCCAAATTTTTCTAAGGGTTTAACTCCTATTGGACATTTTGAAAGCTTACGCTTAGCAACGCATCTCCATTCATCTTGTCAACGTATGCCCGATTGTTGTGACTTTGTTACTTGGTTACCAGCGGAATTAACTTTACGAATTTTCTCGTATCTATCATGGAGTAAGAGTTGTCCGAACTTTGTTTTAATTGCAAAATTTACTCATTTTATCAGTTTGTTATTTTTTGTGTAAATATAGTTCTTTTGTGTGGTGGTTCAAATTGTGTAACCAACTACCCATTAGTTGTCGTGTTCTGTCATCGATTGATGGTGTAAATGACATAGTTGTTTTAACAATGCGATTCGATCGTATACTTCTCAAGAGATGAAGATTTCAATTTCATGGTTGAAAACATTCCATTAGTTATTATTGTTGGATATAGTCAGAGCTGTTATCCATTGCTTTATATTTTTCTCGAGGTCCTTTAATTTAGATTGTTGTCTTCCAACATTAATAACCTATAAGTTCAGCTATCAAATCATTTAATTTTAATAAACATAGTTTCTTTTCTTTTTAAGTAGTATGGATTACCATCGGTCTAATCAAAGTGACAGGTAATATCAGTTTGATTGTCCCATGTCAGTTAACGGATTTTTGTAATAACTTTCTTCCAAAAGTAGAAGTTTGTTTGATCCTCAGTATGGGGTTGCGGAGATTGTTGAATTTTATTGAAATCATGATCCGATATAAATTAAGCCACCACTGATAACTTGTAAGTACTGGACACCCGTGACCAGTGGAGCTAGACCGTGTCGGGCGTGAGACAGTTACTCACCGAAGACAATAGATTATGGTCGCGCAATTTTGTGGATTAATTAAGGTTAGACAGTAACACTGTTGGATGCTCACTCTTTGGTTTATAAATTAAGTGTTCACGTGCGATACCGAAGGTCTTGGACTCGATTCCCGCCTTCAGGGTCGTGGATGTGGACTGCCGAGGAGTCCCACACTAGGACGAAACATCGATCTAGTGCTTCTAGGCTTTCAACATAAATCAGCTCACAATTTTAATGTTACTATCAATCGCTTTCTTTTTCCAGATTTTCTTAAATCGTATTAAATTCTGTAGATTTCAAACACTGTTTATTGATGATTATTAACTATCTTAGTGTTAACTATTTCCTTAGAAATTTAAAAACATTTTTTATAGGAACTTTCGTTTATGTATATAAGTAAATAAAGATTTATCAAATGTAAAAACTAATATCACAAGGGGGTTTTGTGGAGATTTTAATAATTTTATATAGTTAAGATCATGAGTCAATTGAAGCGAGACCACCATGGAAAACCTGGAAACACTGGACGGCCGTTTCGTCCTATTCTGGGACTCTTCAGCAGTGTGCATCTACGATCATGTCTCGTGAGATTCGAACCCAGAACCTACCAGTCTCGCGCCAGAGCACTTAACCGATAGACTACTGAGCCGGCATCCAGCGGTGTTAACTATATAAAAACTAATAATTTTATTCGAGTTGATTTATTTGTTTATTTAATTGTATGTGTCATTGCATCATTCAGCAAGAAGAGGTTATGTTATGGTCTTTAAAAAAGCATTAAATAGCTTATTTCACACAATTTTTCCAATCAATTAATTAGAATAAAGTAGGAATATACGAACATTGCAAAATAAGATGAATTCATTTATTTCGTGGATTCTCGTCAACCACTTACAACCTTGTAACGATGGTAATAATTATGTATAACGAATGTACTTACTTTATATCATATCAATGAACATCTGTTGAATAATGATAACAAGCATGAAGGTATTATCAAGAGTGGTAAAGTGGATGAATATTTATTCGATCAATTATGACCATTCCGGAATAAAAATTTCAAAAGACACATGGAGACACCATTTTTTAGAGAATGAATATTTATGTAGTAACAACCATAGAGTTTGATAGAATAACAAACAGTTAGGCAAAGAAAACCCAAAAAAACTTAGGATAAGAAAACAATTTGTTATTGCGAATATGAAATATAATATTACTTAACTGAATGATAAAAAAATGGAAGTTATTAGGGTAGTGAGAGATTTAAAACTGTTTCTTTTCTAAAAATAGCTAATTAATAATTACACCAATGCTACTTAACGTCATCTATAAGCTTACTATTCTCACTACACTACCATGATTATAGATATTCACTTTACTGTTATGAGTACTTATTAGCATTCTAACACATTATAATTTAGTTTAATAATTTATGTTATAATTTGGGCCATTCACATGTATAGTATAGTACAACATTTATCATTCGATTATCACTAGTGCATTATGCATTCGAAAACACAGAGGTCACAGTATAGAATATCTATGAAATGCCTTGCACTTATAAATGAAAATAGCTGATTATTGCAAATGAACTTGACTTCGGTCTAATCGAGTTTGGTTGTGGCCTGTGTAAAATATTAAAACCAAATGTCAAACAAATAATAAAGTATTGAATGTCCAAAATATTTACTGCCTTCATTAGATTTCTTTATTTGCGTACCTCCGGTGTATGATTCTTTTTATTTCACTAATTTTTGTTTTCCTGAATTATATCTTTAATATTTAATCCTTTCTGTTGCCACTTATATTGCTACTACTCTGGGATTCGCCCTTACAATTTCGTCTCTCTGTGCTATTACGTTGTGGCAACTTGAACCGACGCACACACGTATCAGGTTCTATGTTCTGTTTAACTGACTGATAATTGTAGTATTCACATAATTTGCCTTATACATAAACTCTACATTAAATCGTCAAAAGGGGCAATGGATAAGAGTATGTGTAGTGTAGTAACTTGTTAAAAAAATAATGCTTCTAAAATCACTTTCGTATGAACGCTTATGATAGTGCCAGTGTCTCTCAATTCCGTAACATTAAAATCATAACTTGGCAACTTGATCGTGGATTATTTCTGTAGCTATAAATAAACATTTATTTAACTTATATCTAACAGCCACTTCATAGGGTCAGATTCAATATGAATCACTAGACCGAGATTTTTAAAAATAAGTTTATTTGTTTACGTTATTCCGTATGCTTTATTCGACAAACTTCATGTTTTTTAAATATTGATATCTGTTTTTACCCCCTTGCAATTGGACAGTAGAGTATCCACCTTGAAAGCAACGTATCTAATATCCTGTTCGTATTAAATAAATTTTAAAAGTTTCCAGAGAGTCGAAATCTATTGATCATTCTTAATATTCTTATTGACACATAACCTATTTCCTTTAGTTTATGGGAACAGTTACTATTTGTAAGTTTGCAAATACAACGTTGTTTTCAAAAAAGTAACTTAATATTATAGCTTCTAGTTGCAGCGAAAACGAAAATAGTATCCTAGTTAGATTCTCTTAATTCTATTTTCTAAATATATCCAGCGACAAAAATGCGATATGATCAGGTGTACAAAATTCCCGAACTCGTAAAAATACGTAGTTTCGACCTTTCCAATTCTGATCACTACCTTCAGAAAAATACATTATATTCATCTTCAAAACCTCCGTAATAGAAGTTTTTGTTATTAACTGAAGTTACAAATTACTTGTAAATTGCTATTTAAACTGTCTGTCTAAAATCGTTGAAATTACGAAGATGACGGTCTAATATTGCCTCAAATCCTGGTATTTTTGATTCCGATGTATATGTATATTAATCAAAGTTGGGCATTTCATGGCAGTCTTATTGTAACTAACCTAAGGTCTATCTTGTTGATTCTAATGTATTGCTAATAATTATAAAATCTTGGAATAATATGATATAAATAATGCTTCTAGTGATTGATGTGTTCTCTGAACCAGTTAGTTTAATTACAAAGTTATTGTTTTCGTTCTTGATAACATCATCAGCGCCCATTTCATGCAGAAGTAGGCTTTTCAGTTATTCCCTCAGCTTTAAATTAGTTGTTTTTTATTGCCTTTGTTGTAATTGTTCGTCTTGATTTGTCTTTTACATTCCTGTTGTTTGTCACTGATCAACTTTTCATAAATTATATCATTTTTATTTTCATTTATTGTATTATCTCAAGAATCATTGACAGTCTGTTCAGAAGTGAATAAAAGTTGGCTGAAATACGCTCGACATCCTGATTTATATAAACACTTTTGTATGCTACCAAAATGGTCCTCACCTATTCTAAGAAAACCGCAATTATTCAATAGTATAACAAAATCCAATGAATATAATCATTGTGTACCAGAGGAAAATCAACAAAATTCAAATAATCTTATTAGCAATCATTTAGAAATTAATGTAAGAATTTCAAGTGTTTATTTTTCTTGGTTATCGTTTTTTATATGTCAACCATGTGAAAATGTGAATTCTCCACACAATCAATAAACAGTATCTATGTGTGCTGAAGCCACATGTAGGTGTCATATCCGATAGAAAAATAAAACACTGACTGAGATTCGAAGGACTACATTCGGTGAAAGTTGATTAAATGTTTTTTTTTTTAATTATCGTTACATCCCAGTATATTGTTCTCTATGTAAAATATAATTGTTTGATTCATTAATATTCATTTCTTTTCTAATCATCACAACTCAGTTACAATCCACAGCAACTATTATCAATCAACACAAAATCATAACATTAATGATACACAATAATACTATCTAATTGCTCGAAGGTAGGTAAATTGAATTCGAATCTGTAAAAGTGTTTAAATTTGATTGCATACACCAATTTAAAGCTCATGACTAAGGTCAATTAAAAATCTAGATTATATTTGGGATTTTATCAGCATTGACTTTGATATTTGTTCATTTTCAATTTTCATGATATGGTGTATCAACTTGAACTGATGCACATGTACGCCAAGTTCTACATTGTATATGATTGATGGAATGATTGTAACAGGTGGTAAAGTACCAATCTAAAAATACATGTTTCAAAGAAACTAACTGTTTTACTACAAAACCTAGTGATCTGACGCTTCTCAGTATTCTTCTTTGCTTTCTTTTTCTTGTGCATAGATAACACTTGAAAAACTACTAGTTTAATTAGTTGTGTTATTCAAAATTTATTGCCATTTAATTGTATTAGCCATCGTTCAATCATTAAATTACTCGACTGAACTGTCGAGTCAACGTTTCAAGCTCATGGTTCTACCCAAATCTGATTTGTATAACCTGATAGTGTCTTTGAAACTGTTTCTCAAAGCTGAATCCAAATGATTGTTTATAGTGATGAGTTGAATTCTCGTCTAATCATATTTTATTCTCGGTGTAAATTCTATATAACTTGCATTACTAAATAAGCTTATTAATTGTCTTTTGTAACCCTGTGAAAAAATAAAATAAATAATTAGTCGCAATATCATATAATTCATATATTTCTCCTCAGTGTTTTGTTGGAGACAGCAGTTATATATATTGCAAACGCTCTTGTAAGTTTGAGGATGGGAAGAGTCCCTTCTCTCTCTCTCTCGAAACGCTCTCATATAGCCATGTATTTATAATCTTTGCCAGGAAACTTGTACTCACTGTCTTTACTCTCTGAGAGTTTTATATGAAAACGACAGGTTGAAATCAGACATCCGACTCCTAAACCAAGTTGTTGATACAGAGGATTCACGCATAGGGCAATCGGAAAAATTACGTTACTGTAGCCACAAACGTAACTAGTAAATAAAATCTTCTGAATCAGGCTTTACGTTTCTGACAGATGAGTTTATTTTAATTTTTTTCTTCAGTACCCAACGATTTTTGATTATTCCATTTTTATAATATTGCAAATATTTCACACTTAAAAGTTATGTGTACTATTTTTACTTCACATTCATTAGTGGTTAAATGTATTCAAGAAACGTGTGTGTCTAAGACGTAATTTCCGTTTGGGTAAACATCGAATACGTAAATTTAATGGCCACAGTGGAGGTATGTATTAGTTGTTTTTGTACAGTTATACTTGTCACTATTTACTTACTATCTGGTGTAATTTTCAGTTCAAGCGCTTGTTCACTAATGATGTAGAAAATTTTCTGTATGGAAAATAATGATTCGTTGGTAATTTAACTTCTCAAAATAGTTATGATTTGTACATTACCTATTTATGTGGTTATGTGATGTGTAGGGACGGCCATCGGTGAACTCAAGGAAGCTCCAAAAGAGCCGAAGATATTCTATCTAAGCATCTCTTGGAAGAACATTCCGGAATCTCGATGTGTAACTTCCTGATTGGACTAATGCTAAAAACCACTGCATGCCGATTGGATGACTGCAAGGATTATTTGTTTTCTTTTACTAAAAACTACAAATACCTTAGTGTCTTGTATTTTATTTGACACTGTTTGGAATAACATTCCTTCATACTCGTCTTCTGTCTAACAACTTGCGACTTCGAGAGTTCTAGCGTTCGAGTGCTCAAGTACGCAAGTTGCAGCAGGAATACAAACTCTAGATGTAGCATGATGAAATATAGATTTTTATATTTGGTGTTAAGCTATATCTTTAATGTTTGGTTCAGCTGTACTAACCGAAACAGGTGGGGAAAGTTTGTGTATGGAATATAATTGTTGAAATTCGATTGCTGTCAACAAAACATCTTTTAAAGAAATATAAAGTTGATAACTTAAGTCACTTCAAAATCACGATCACCAGTAGATTCGAACTAGTGACTTTGAGATTGCTAATTTACTTGACTATCAAATAAACAACGGAAATGTGCTATTATTTGTCTTTTTACTTAAGTATTGTTCACTAGTTGATATAAACTCGCCTATTCATTCTTTTATCACTGACTATCTACCCTGCCTATGTTTAGTTTCTTAAATCGAAGTCAGACAGATTTGATATTATTAGTCAATAACCTGTTGTATATTAGATTATCTAGGTTAGTGTTCATCGTCAAACTGGATTGTTTTTTTATTAATTATTATCATCACTATTATTATGGCCATTTTGGTACTCGAATTCGTATGAAAATCTGAATCACTACATTATCAATGTAATGACTTTTCTGGGTACTTAGTTACGACTTCTCATTCACTTGGAGGATATCATTGTGAATGAATTTACGAGCTACTGTATCGAAATAAATTAAATGTTTTCTTTTATTAATTCGATTACCCAATTTTAACATTTAGTATTTTTCTCTAATCTTATCCATTATGTCGAACATTAAAACTATATTCTTATCAGTCTTTTAGCTTATTCGTACTGCTTAAGTTACTCTGTTTTCAGATGGTAACTGAAAAGTTGGTATTATAATCAAATTATTCTTGTCTGTTTTTATTTCATGTGTAGCATCCATGTTTCTAAATCCTTCAGTCATACACTTGAGAATGTGTACAATTAGTTATTCTACATTTAACTTTTGTCCTATGGTTACCTATAATATGACATTGGTTTAACCTGATTTATTTTACTAAATTTTCTCTTCAGCTGTTTATTGTATTGATTGCGATGCTTATCGTATTGTTAGTGGATCAGCTGACGCAACAATACGCGTATGGAATATTCGTACAAATGCAAAATGGTCTGTCCAAACACTTCGTGGACATTCAGATGCTGTTCGTTGTGTACAGTTACTATCCCTACCTCATTATCAATTAAATAATAATAATAATAATATCGATGGCTATTGTTCCACTTCTCCTGTACATTGTATTCACGAGTCAATTGCATCAATACCATGTTCTTTATGCAAATTAGATACAACTGTTACATATCCTAATTGTTGGGAACCACCAGAAGTACTACTAATATCTGGTAGTGCAGATACCACTTTAAAATTATGGCGTCTTTCTGCAACATCTAACTGGTCACGTATTGCATGTACATGTACATTGCAAGGTCATACTGACACTGTGAGATGTGTACAGGTATGTAAATATAATTTATTCAACATTTTAAGGAATTATAACATATTCTTATTTGATGAATAAACATGTCAAAGATTATTCAGTGAACTTATTGAAAAAGTTTATTTATTGTAATGAACACTGAGCAGTATTGTGGGTTAATGTGATCATCACTGTTGACCGTTCATAATATTTCACTTTTTGAAATCAACGGTTCTCGTAACCTCAAAATGGTATGATTATTGAGTGGCTGTATTAAAAATGAAGTGACATATTCACTAGAAAATACGCTTAACACCTCACTAATGTGACTAAATTAGGTAAACATACAAGTCCACATTATTAGCTCTTTTTACTAAATGTTTATTCCTACAACGTGTCTACCCTTATAGATATAAAGAAGAACATAACGTGGAGAGCATTGGGATAGACATAAAACTACGTCTTGGTGAATAATCCATTTTTATTTGTTAACTGACATTTGTATTGATTCAGTATTCCATTAAAATTCACTGTTCAGTTTATTCAAGTCATATTTTATGAACCTTTTTATAGAATACCTCATAAGCCCCTTGTATATGAACATACTGAATAGCTGGTCAGCGTTTACAATTAAATTAATCTTCTAATTAAACACTTATACTACCACATTAGTATAAAAAGGAATCTAATATACATAGTAGAGCATTTATGTTGGAAATCAAACGATTTTTACCAGTTGAGGACAAATAAGTAAATCTCTTTCGTCTTAGCTTACATCCTCTATAGAGTCTTAAATTAAACTAGGTGTTTTAAAAGCTTCACTAAATCTTTGTTAGTATATATTGTTTAAATTCAGTGAAATACCGCAAAACGTTTTTTGTACATACGATTTCCACCTCCTACAAAATCATATTTCCGTGGTCCTGGATGTATGATGCCTACGTGTGTAAAACAATTTCAAGCATTTACACATTCGAAAGGCTTCTTCTAGGATATCACTAAACACATGGTCGTTTTTTATGTTTTTCAAAGAAATTTTTCATACCATTTTTCAGTTTTTTCATTCCGTTTCATACAACTAAGTGACTAGCTTTAAATTCGTTATAATTGGTTATTTATTTCTTAAAATTGATATAAAATGTAAGTACTTGTCGACAGAGCAACTTTTCAAATTGTGGACAATAGTAACGTACAAAGTACAAGCTCTGTCGTTCCTCACGTTGTCACTGACACAGATAACATATTTTTGAATACAGTGTAACTCGTAGCATTCCAATCACTTGAAACGGTAGAGAGAACCATCAAAACTTATGGAATGTTGACGTACTGCCATTATGCTATGCAAGATCCTCATTTCCATACGGATCAGAAACCATATATTAAATTTGTTGGAGAAATGGCCGTAGAACACCTAGCAGATCCTCACATCCGGTTAGACGAAGGCTGTAATTTCATTAATGTTATTATGTTTTTCATGAAGGACTACAATGAACACTCATCTTTTGTAAGTTTATTGAGTGGTACTGGCTGATTCGTCTAGAGATTTGGCCCCCAAATGCCCTGGTACGGCCGAGAGTGGGGAGAGTCTACTCTCCCTCTCGAAATACTCTCATATGGCCAGCGAATATATAGCCTCTGCCAGGGAAGTCCTACTCACTGCCTTCTCGTGGCGGGGGTGTTGTTTACGAAAGTGAGAGGACGAAAAGCGAATGTCCGGCGCTATAACCGGATTGGTGGACACGGAGGGTCCACCCCAGGGGAGTTGGAAAACCCTGATTCCAAACCAATGGTGCACATGGGCTCCAGTATCCTGATGGAACGAATGGCGGACGAACCTGTCATTGGTCAACGGCTACCATGGGACTGCATCTCCTCACGATGCTCCACTGCCTTGTGGATCAGACCTTTAGGTCAAAGGCTCGGGGTGTGGTCCCCTAAGAAAACCACCTGCTTCGGTTTGGGCACCCGGGCAGTATCACAGCCCACACACAAATGAATGGAATGATGAACTCTATTGACGATTCTATTCCTGCTCATATTATAAGCAAGACAATTTACATTATTATTATTATTATTATTATTATTATTATTATTATTATTATTATTATTATTATTATTATTATTATTATTATTACTTACCATATCGCTAATTCACCCCCTTTTATCCCCAATTTGTGTAACCTTACTCTTCAACTTATGCAGCAGCTCGCTCTTGGTGGAAAATCTGTCCTATCTAAACGATCTCCAGTCACTGTCTGGTTGAAAGTGAATGCTTCCACCGATAATGAATACTGAGGTAGTCTTTCTGAAACCACGTACGCCGTTCAAGCTGGCTTCCTTCAACGTTAGCACACTAATGCAGATCAGACAACAGATAGGGCTGGCTATGTCTTTGGAAGGTCTTAATGTTGATGTTTGCTGTCTATCCGAGACCCGTATTCAAGACTCTAGTGAAGTACTACAAATCCGCTCTCCATCTGTCTCCTCGAAAAGCTTGTTCCACGTGCGCTTATCCGGGGACCCTGTGGCATCTTCGTCTGGTCTTGCTGGCGTTGGCGTCGCACTAAGCGCTAGGGCTGAGGCAGCACTAATCGATTGGATCCCCATTAACAGTCGGTTATGTGCTGTTAGATTAGAAAGTTCCATCAAAGTGAGAAGAAATCGGCGTGAGAAACGGTGTCTTTTCGTCACCTCCGCCTATGCCCCGACAGATTGCAGCCCGGATGCAATCAAGGATGAGTTTTATCATTAGTTAACAGTTCTTCTCCAGAAAGCGCGTTCGACAGATATTGTAGTACTAGCCGGAGACTTGAATGCACAGGTCGGGCGTCTAGGCATAGAAGAGAGTCGTTTAGGTGGCCGATGGGGACTTGTTGGTCGCAGGACAGATAACGGGGACCGTTTGCTGCAGCAACTGTGCACAGACCACAACCTGTTTCTGGCCAGCACCAACTTCCGGCACAGTCATCGCCGGTGTGCCATCTGGCGTCCTCCCTCTGCATCCGAAGCCTGGACTCAGATTGATCACATCGCGATCAGCTACCGCTGGCGTGGTTGTGTACAAGACTGCCGCTCCTTTTGGAGTACCTATCTGGACTGTGATCATGCCCTGGTCTGCGCCAATCTCACCTTACTTTTCAGTGGCCGAAGGATTGACCACCACCAACGGATTGATATTAGTAAACTGGCTGCAACTCCTGTTGCAAGTAAGTATCGAGCGGAGCTAGCCTCTAGGCTAGCTAACACCCCACCGAAAAGTATAGATGAGCATTGGTTGCATCTTCAAAAATTTTTGTCTATTGAAGAAGGGTGTGCCTGAGAAGTTCATTAACATCTTAAAGGCCCTGTACACGAACACCTCAGGCAGAGTGATGGCATACAACCACCTTTCTCCCTTGTTCCATTCGAGCAGTGGGGTTAGGCAGGGTTGCTCGATCTCACCATTCCTTTTCAACTTTGCCATCGACGACATCCTAGAAACAGCTCTGGTGGATGTAAGTAATGGCGGTGTGGATATGTTGCCTGGAGAACGACTTCTCGACCTTGAGTATGAGGATGATATTGTCTCACTGTGCTATAATGCCCAAGGCATGCAATCAGCACTTAATGAGTTGGCAATCAGTGTCCGCAGGTACGGCATGTGCTTTGCACCCTCCAAGTGCAAAGTACTTCTACAAGACTGGCAGGATTCTAATCCTGTACTCACCCTGGATGGTGAGGAGATCGAAGTAGTTGAGAAGTTCGTGTATCTAGGTAGCTGCATAAGTGCTGGTGGTGGCGTGAGTGATGAGATTGATGCACGTATAAGGAAAGCCAGATCGGCTTATGCCAATCTGGGCCATCTTTGGCGCCTTCGTGATGTTAGTCTGGCTGTAAAAGGTCGGATCTACAACGCGTCGGTGAGAGCAGTTTTGCTCTATGCTTGTGAAACCTGACCTCTCCGAGTTGAGGATGTTAGACATCTCTCTGTGTTCGATCATCGTTGTCTCCGAAGGATTGCTGACATACAGTGGCAACACCATGTTAGTAATGCAGAGGTTCGGCATCGTGTGTTCGAGTGAAGAGACGATAATTCAATTGGTGTCACCATCTTGAAACACCGACTTCGGTGGCTCGGACATGTTCTACAAATGTCATCTCCGAGAATTCCTCGTCGTGCATTATTTGCCAACGCTGGGACTGGTTGGAAAAAGCTGTGTCGTGGTATGAAAGAAAGCTGCAAAAGACTGGCTTTTGTTTGTCCTTCCCGACACCTTGGCTGGGGTCTGAGAGATGATGCAACACAGTAGCTAGAGATGTCATCACATATGGCTCAAAATAGAAGTCAGTGGCGATCCTGCCGTAACCTTCTCTTACTTCCTTCATAAAAAGTGGTTGTAACCGTGTCATACACTGACCACCTCTCCGCTTTTTTCAACCAGTCAGTAGAATTCATCATTTCATTTATTTGGCTTGGACATGTTTTACGAATGTCGTCCCAGAGACTTCCACGTCGTGCATTATTTGCCGACTCTGGGACTGGTTGGAAAAAGCGGAGAGGAGGTCAGTGTATGACATGGTGTCGTGGCATGAAAGAAAGCTGCAAAGGGCTAGCTTCTGTTGGTCCTTCACGACTCCTTGGTTGGGGTCCGAGAGATGGTGCAACACAGTGGCTAGAGACGTTATCAGATATGGCTCAGAATAGAAGCCAGTGGCGATCCTGCTGCAACCTTCTTTTACTTTCTACATAAAGAATGGTTCTTACTTTCTTATTTGAACGAGTCTACTGGTTGTACATTTTAGTCCGCCTTATCTTTTCATCCCTTCTCTTCCTACTTTCATTATTTTGTGTGGCGCATATGTACCTGGTGCCCTTTTGTACCAATATATATGTGTTTAAATAAATAAATAATAAATAATAAGTTTATTGAAGGTCGCCGCACTGTTGTTTTTGGGAATGTTCATCACAATCACGAGTGCGATTTCCTGAGGAACAGCAATAATTCTTGGATGCGCAGGTTAACGAACGCTGAGTTTGAAACTGTGTGACCTTTTCTGAT